GGCGGCGGCGACGCAGACGACGACTGTGACCGCGACGGACAGGTCGAATTCGGCGTCTCCGACGCGCCGCCAACCGCATCAGGACGCTTTTCACTCGTTCGCCTACCGGCAGCTGCTGAACAACCAGCGCCAGCCGAACCAGCGACTCAACTCGGCGCCGATCTGGCCGCCGCCTGACCCGCCGCAGCCTCAGTTCTCGAACAGTCCCTTCTTCTCGTTGGTCGTCGAGGCGTCGCCGCCCGTCGCCTCTGCCTGGCCTCTCCTCGGACTCACCACGCACGACTACCCGCGCCATGGGGGACACGATGTCTCGGCGTCCACTTCGTTGCCCCCGCCGACCGGCGCCTCGAACCCCGACGTCTTTTGGCCTCCGCTGCCCACTTTGTCCAGACACTTTCGGCCGCCACTTCTGATGCTGGCGACCACCGCCGCCGCCACCACCACCACCAACGCCGCCACTACCACCACCAGCACCACCAGCACCAGCACCATCGGCTGCCGGACTCGGCCCATATCGCCGCCACCGGACCTCGGCCGGGCGCGAGCTCGAGCCGCAGTAAACACCCACTTTATAAGCCAGCTGCCCGAGGAACAGGCCATCGCCTTCGACTCCTCAGCTCTGCGCACCGCTGCCTCCCTCGACTCGGTCGCCTCGGAGCAGACGCGGCCCGTCGTCATGTCGACGCATGCGGCCAGCGCCTTGCCCGAGATTCGAGCGCCGCCGGGGCAGGCGAGTCCGCGTGACGGCAGCCCTTGGCTGCTGTCTGCCAATCAAACGGTGCCGCGGATCACCATCAGCCTCACCGAGACCTCAATGCCGGAGCAGATGGTCATGCAGACCTGGCGGCCTCCGCCAATCCTGTCAGTCGCACCAACCCCGCCCGACGAGTCATGTCTCTTCTTCGGCCTCGTCCAACCGGAACACTTCAGCCGTGAGCGTCGCTTTGTGCAAGCCCACCGGCCGGACAGCAGCTACGCTTTGTCGGACAGCAACTCGGACGCCTCCGAGGCGGTCGCCTTTTTGGTGCAGGACTCCAACGCCAGGCCTGGGAGGCGTCTGCTGCAGCCGGTCGGGCTGCCTCGGGGCCACGCCATGCCGCTGAATCGGGGCCCATCCGCCTCGGGCGAGGCTGAAGAGGCGGACGACGGTCAACCGGCCCAAGAGACAGAAACAGCGACGGTCTGGCAACAGATTCTGGAGGCAGACGAACCGAGCGAAGGCATCACCGCTGGCTACCTGGCTCTGATACTTACCGCCCTGTTGGACTCAAGGATGCTTGAATATGAGAGTCTGGAAGGAGGGGAGGAGGAGGAGGAGGAGGAGGATTCATGAGACGTGGTTCGCGTCTTCGCAAACTCGCAAGACCGAGGCGACCCAGCAACCAAGTCGTGTAAACCTCCGCGCGTAGATGGCCCTGCAACGATTTGATCGGATTGAGTCTTTTTATTTTTAAACCCGTCAACTACTCCAAACCACACTCCACGAGGAGGCCATAGCAAGAGCCGGCTTTCCCTCCTCCGAACCTTTACGACTGGCAACTGGCAACTGGCTATTGACAGTCGACCTTCAATTGTGTCAGATTGTCAATAATTACGAACTCATTTCAGCAACATTGTCCGGCCCTTTTGTGCAGACAGGATGGCGTACGGACTCGTTAATAAGACGCCTCTTCGAGCCGGTATGTGAGGCAGGGCGAACAGACCGAGCCAAGGCTTAGTAGGGCTAAGCTGAGGATTCACATTCGACCGCCCAACCGGCGACAGACGCCACGGCCTCATGTCATTTTTCCATTTGCTATGCTTACTCCTCGCCTTAACCGACCGTGGGAATAAGTTCGAGCGAAGTTGGCGCTTTCCTTCCAAACAAGGCCTTCTCGACTAAACTCGAGCGGGCGAGCTGAGGTGATAGGCTGCGGTTGTAAAGCGAAACATTGTTCATAATCTGAACCCACAAATTGATACTCTGACTGCCCAAGCTTCGAAACGACCAGCTGTACTTTAGTAGGGACGTAGCTCTTAGCATAAGCCAGCCTAAGGTGAGGTGAAAGTTCAAGCTCCCACAAGGAAAGATGCAGCAGATTTTCATGCCTGTACTGATCAGAATGCTTTGATGTGAGTAATGGCATGAAACCTGTCCTGAGAAGGAAGGGAAAGCTAGAGTACGCAACAGTGCAAAAGTAAGGTTAAGAAACAGGCATAGTTCGTAAGTGCCTAACTAACGAAGGGGTACGAGCAGGAGAGAAAGAGAGAGAGAGTTTGCCGGCTGGGAAACTGGGGAGGCGCAATGCAAATCAGAAGACTTGCTTTGGCATGTATTTTAGAGCAGAATCACTCTGCTTCTGCAGGGCAAGGACCGTCCTGGGAAATTGGACTCCAGAAGACAGTTGCTGGAGACGTTTTCTTGTAAAAGAGAGGCTGGGTGAGTGAGGGTAGAAGAATAGAGGGAAGAAGACGCGACTGAGTTGATGATATGGTGCTGTCATGGCGAGGGGATCAAGCGGTGGTGTCAACGAGTGCGGAA